TAGTGAAACTTTTAGCAAATTGGCAATATTAATTTGCAAGTATGGGTTTGAATTTTTTAATGATTGTTGTTGTTGTGAAGTGCCTTCGAGTCGATTCCGACCCATAGCGACCCTGTATAGGGTTTCCGAGGAGCAGCTGATGAGCTTGAACTGCCAACCTTGCAGTTCAAATGGCTTTGCAGTCTGGCACATTAACCCACAGTGCCACACCAGGATTGCTGTTGTTAGGTGCCATCGAGTCGGTACTGACTCATAGCGACCCTAAGCACAATACAACGAAACACTAGTATAGCCATATATATAATTCCTGTTTATGTTTCTGCTACATTATAAATCATTTAAGGGTAAATATTATATTTTATCTTTGTATTATACCATAATGCCTGGATATAAAACAAAACAAAAAAACTTGAGACTTTTCTGACCAAGATACTTCATATTGTACATTGAATCTGTGATATCTATTTGCTATGTATAGTTTTTCTTACTATCTGATTTTCAGTTGAGTTCTAGTTAAGCGAGGTATTATGATATTTTATATTTAGCAAAGCCTTGCTGTGGGTTAATGCGCCAGACTGCAAAGCCATTTGAATTGCAAAGTCAATGGTTCAAGCTCAGCAGCTGCTCCTCAGAAATCCTATACAGGGTCGCTATGGGTCAAAACCGACTCGACGGCACTTAACAACAACAAGTTTACATAGAAGTTCTGGTGTAGCGCTATGGTTTAATGCACTGGACTGCTAAAGTCGCTTTGAACCTCAAGTTTAGTGGTTTAAGCTCACCAGCTGCTCCTCAGAAACCCTATACAAGGTCCCAGCAGGTCAGAATCAACTCGAAGGCACTTAACAACGTTTACATAATAAATACTATTTGATCGTTACAATACCAAGTAATAGAAAAAATAGATTCCCTGAAATAGAAACTAATATCTATTGAGAACTAATTATTCACCATACAAATATTCTAAGAGCATTACATCTAGTGACTTATTCAATTCCCATACCCAATCACCCAATAAGGGAGTGACTGTTATTTTTCTCCTTTTACATTTGAAGAAATAATGGCAGAGAGAGATACACTAACTTACCAGAAGGTCACACTGTAGTGAATACTGAGTTACCATTTGGACTCAGACAATGAATCCCAAGCCAGTACCATTTACCTCTAACCATTCACTTTTGATAAATACTGTCATTGATATCTTTAAAGTAAAAAGTTCTATCTAAATGCCACTTTAAAAAATTTCCACAGGCAGCCTAATTCTGTCTACACTACACAATTAAACATGTCTTAAACCTTCATTAATTTCAGTAATAAATAATATTTCTGGGTTATGCTGTGCATGACAAATTCTTTTTTTACTCTCTATAAAAATGAAAGACTTTAGCTGCATATGCTAACATATCTCTGCATAGTAGAATGAGGGAGGGTGAAAGCCAGGAAAATGAATTATCTAACAATGTATTTTGGCAGTGTAATGGTCCATTTCTAACAAAGAACAAAATAAAAATTACATGATATGCTCTTATTGGAGATCATCTTTTAAACTTTGGTGATGAATAGCAACCCAAATCAATCAGCAAGAGCAGAATTTAGGAATAAAAAAAGATAACAAGAAAAACTTTAATTGTCCTTTCTATCAAAAGCAATACATTTGTTATTTATAACTACAAAGAGTCATGTTAATTCACAGAGAGCTTAAGATTCAAAATACTCAGTAGCAAGAGATTCATATAAGAACCATGAAATGCACAAATGAAAGTCTTCATTAAGAGAACATTAGAGGCCAGTCTGAAACAGCAAAAGGAAAAAATTCAGAATAAATGTCTCACTAGGTAACTGATTTGACTTTAAGAGCCATCTGGTCTCTTTTCATGCTCCATATCTATTGTCCTCTACAAATGTAGACACGGACATGGTTTTTTTGTCCTCTAATTAAGTGGAATCAATGTGGAATGGTAGGGCAGGACCACATAATCATTTCAATTTTTTTTTGACAAATTAATTGCCTGTCAATGATTAGGTTTCTAAAAGATCCTGCACTAATGCTGGTAATGTTTATTTTATTTCTGCTTCATTTATAAACTTATTTGCATAATATCTATTTCAGGTAATTAAAGTTATAGCTTTACAGATGACCAAATTGTGATGTGTAGCCTTGGATTTACATTCATAGAGGCAGTCAAGGAAGTTGATGTAAATTTTTTCTTCTACCACATAGGTATATAACCTTGATCTAGAAAATGTAGCATCTTTTGGTTTTAGTTTTCCCAATTATAAAGTGAGTGTAATGTTTAATATAGTATTTAGCCTCATATATTGAGGTTCTTTTTTTTGTTTGTTTTTTGCTAGACTTTATAACTATGAAATTCAAAAATCTGAAACCAACTCATCACTTCCCCTTTCCTCATTCTATTCCACTCTGATTTCCCTTTTGAACATGAATTTGGTAAATGGTGCTTTAGCTACTCAAGCCAAAAATTGGAAAGGCATTATACAAAGAGTTGTTCTCAGATGGTCAAAACAATCTATCAATTATGCCTCTTAAATGCCTATGAGATGTCTCCCTTCTTTTACATGCCAATTACTATTATTTCAGCTAAGACTTTCACCATATAAATCTTGAATCCTGCAAAAATGTCTTAACTGAATTCTTTATTGCACTATAAGCCTCCTCTATACTGCCATTTAATTGTCACACTCAGAAATATGCTATCAACCATCCTTCTTAAAATCCTCTACATTCCTTCAATGTTTAAGTGGAAACACTTCAACATAGTATAATGATCTGGATGTTCAAGGCTTATTTTCTGTCATCCTCCAAAGATTTCCTCTCTTTCTGCCAAAGTGATTTGCTGGTAGTATTCTAGGCTGTCAGTCTCTCACATGTCTTTGGTCTTCGCCTATTTATTTTGCACTGTGTGGTTAAATCGCACTCACTCCTTCAGAATCACACTTACATTTCAACATTAAAAGAAGGAACAATAAATTGTCTCACATACCCAACAGAATGTCACACACGCACACACATTGGTAAGATATTTCCAAATCATTGTTGTTATTGTTAGGTGCCATCTAGTCAGTTCTGACTCAAATGGACCCTAAGTACAACAGAAGAAAATACCACCCCACTTGTATCATTGTCATAACTGTTGTTATATCTGAACCCAGTGTTGCAACCACTTCATCAACAATCCATCTCACTGAGGGTATTCCTCTTTATTGGCTGACCTTCTACTCTTCAAAGCATGATGTCCTCCTCCAAGGATTGGTCCCTCCTGATAATGTCCAAAGTGAGAGGAAGGCTCATCATCCTTGTTTCTAAGAAGAGTCTGGCTGTGCTTCTTCCAAGATGGATTTGTTCATTCCTCTGGAAGTCAATTGTTTATTCAATATTCTTCACCAACACCAAAATTCAAATACATCAGTTCTGTTTTAGTCTTCCTTATTCATTGCCCTGGTGTGGCGCTGTGGGTTAATGTGCCAGACTTCAAAGCCGTTTGAACTGCAAGATTGCCGGTTAAAGCTCACCAGCTGCTCCTCGGAAACCCTATACAGGGTTGCTATGGGTTGGAACTGACTCGATGGCACTTAACAACAACAACAATTCATTGTCCAGCTTTCACATTCGTCTGAGATAATTGAATATGCCATGACTTGGGTCAAGTACAATTTAATGGGTCAGATGCAACTGCATCCAAAAACTGAACTCTCTGCTCTTGAGCACATAAAGAGATCATTTGAATTTAATTTGCTCTATGCAATATGTTATTTGATTTTCTGACCATTGCTTCTAAGGACATTCATTGTGGATGCAAGTAAAATGAAAGCCTTGACAACTTCAATATCTTTCCTGTTTATCATGATGCTGTGTATTAGTTCAGCTGTGAAGGTTTTTATTTTCTTTATGTTAAGGTGAAATCCATATTGAAGAATGTTGTCTTTGTTTTGTCAGTAAGTGCTTCAAGTCCTCTTTACTATCAGCAAGTAAGTGTGTGTCACCTGCATATGGCCTGATGCTACATTCTTCTTTATATAATTCATCTTCTTGAATCATTTGCTTAACAAACATATTGAATAAATATAGTGAAAAGTACAATCCTGACACACAACTTTATGATTTTTAACCATTCAGAATCCCCTTGTTCTGTTCAAAAGAAAGCCTATTGGTCTATGTATACATTCTAAACAAGCACAATTGAGTGTTCTAGAATTCCCATTTTTGCAATGTTGTTCATAATTTATTATGCCCCACAAAGTAGAATGCCTTTGCCCCGTCAAAAAAACACACAGGGAAATATGTTTTTTGAAGACCTATATAGGGTCGCTATGGGTCGGAACCAACTCAATGGCACTTTAACAGTAACAACAATGAGTATTAGGTTGGGCTTTCTATAGAATCAAAACCAGCACTGTATATGTGTGTGTGTGTGTGTGTATATATATATATACCAGCTCCTCTGAAACCCTATACAGGTTTGCTATTAGTTATGGGTCGGAACCGACTCGACGGCAGTTAACAACAACATATATATATATGTGTGTGTGTTGTTGTTGTTGTTGTTGTTGAGTGCCATAGATTATGTTCTGACCCATAGGAACCCTGTAAGGTTTTCCGAGGAGCGACTGGTGAGCTAGAACCGCTGAGCTTGTGGTTCAGAGTGACTTTTCAGTCTGTGCATTACCCCACAGTGCTACACCAGGACTCCTTTATACAACGTTGCTATGGGTCAGAACACACTCCACAGCATTTAACAACAATGAAATATGTATAAATGTTGCTAATTTCTGTGGAGTCAGTTCCGACTCACAGCTACCCTATATAGGGTTTCTGAGAAGTGGCTGGTGAGTTGAGCTGCTGACCTTGCAGTTCAAACCAAATTTATAATCCAGCACATTATCCTGCAGCACCACACCAGAACTCTCTCTCTCTTTATATATAAAGAGTGCCTCAAACTAATGTATGTATAAATTTATGTCAACAAGGAAATGACTCATTTATGGATTATAGAGATAGGAGAGTCCCAAGTGGAGGCAAGAAAAACCAAGATTGGCGGATAGCACAGAAGGCAGAAATTCCCAAGTTGGGGCACAGAGCAAGACCTAGACGCTGGAGCAGGGGCAACAGCTGGGTGATGGGTGACCAAGACCTGGCAGGCACACTGCATAAATGTTGACACAGAGCACAGGAGCTAGGGTGACAAGAACAGGTATGCAGGGCCTTTTGTCGTGTTTCTGGTTTTCCAGGCACACCTGACAGGTATGCCCAACAGAAAAATATACAATAGAGCAGGCCACTGACTTAGGTTTGAAGAACTGGAGGTTGGATGACCCAGGTGCAAAATCTAGATTCAGTGAGGGGAAAAATGAGTCTTTCTTGCACGTCCATTTTTATTGGACCACACCCCCAAGGAAACATCCTTTCAATTGACTGGCTGCTAATAGCCAATCATCATAGAGTTAACTATCAACTGCCAAACAACTGGGAATCCTGGTTCAATCAAGTTGACACAGAACCTAACTATTACACTATACTTTCAGATAAGATCTGTCTGATATCAGCAAATATTGCTGATATCATTGCAAGTTCCACCAAAGTAAGTGGAATGAAAAAGGCTTTCAAGGAACACAATGTCCAATTGTCCCCATTCTTCCTTTTTGATGTATCTATCTCTGTTTCTTTCTGTTGTGCATAAGGTCGCTATGAGTCATACAAACTTGATCGCACCTATCAACAACTGCAATCTCTGTGCTTAGTTATTAAGAAAGCTAATCTTCTGAAGAGAAGAATTACTAACCTGTAGCGCCTCAAACTAAGGAGCAGTGTAGTGGTTATGAATTGGGCTGTGAACCGCAAGGTCAGCAGTTCGAAACTACCAGCTGTTCCACGGGAGAAAGATGAGACTTTCTGCTCCCGTAAAGGTTTACAACCTCGGAAACCCAGTACTGGGTCTCTGTGAGTCGGAACCGACTCCCCTTCACATAACCACCAACCACCCCCAGCGCCTTAGACTAACCTATTTATAAAAGTACCTTCTGCTGTGCATAAGGTCACTATGAGTAGGTACCGACTCGCTGGCATCTAAAAACAACAACTGTTTTATTGACTTCTTTACAAAAAGGGTGGCACTTAGAAGTGCTGAATATCTACTTTTCTCCTACTTTCCCAGTGTCCAGGCTATCATCTATGCATTTGGGTAGAGATGTAAATGCCAGTTGCTGCAAACTTTGGTTGAAAATGATCTGGGGAATATGGATGAGTTGATGACAAAGAGATAAGCTGGTAAAGAGACAAGGAAATGGAAGTTCCTGATTTGCCATGAAAGGATCCAGGATGTAATATGATTGGTGGTGTTGACTGGGTGGGGGCCCAGCTATTGACACCCTTTTAAGTTCACTGAAGACCGTTTTAATTTTACTTTGGAATGCTTAAGTGATTTTTAATTGAAATAATCTAAAATAGAAAAAGAACTGCCTCAAGGCACTTGATAAAAACAACAATACAAAAAAAGAACACTAAAACTATTACACAAATTCACATTGTATACATATGTGAGTAACCATCAGCCTTTAAACAGATTAACCAATTTCATGCTGTTTTTACAGTTAAATTTGGCTATCCTTCTGTTGTTAACACAACTTATGTATGAACTGAAGTCATGGTGTGGTGCTGTAGGATGAGTACTGAACTGCTAACTGCAAGGTTGGCAGTTCAAACCCACCAGCCACTTCTCAGAAGTCATGTTAAGGGTCACTGTGAGTCAGAACTGACTTGACAGCACTTAATAACAACATATAACTGATTCTGTCACAGGGTAGTTGACCTTAAATCCCTCTTCATTCAGAATAGCCCTAGATCACATATATTGTTATGGCGTCCTGTCTGCTTGATAGTCTCTTTCAGTCTCTCTTATCTCTCAAGTAGGACAATAAATTTTGTGGTCATTCAATCCATATGGAAATTAAGCATAGGCCAAAACTTCTTTCTTTAATACTTGGTAAGAAAAAACTGAGCAAAAGACCATGACTAAACTATAAAAATGGGCACAGTAAAAAGGGATCCATGTGAAGGTTCATTGAGGAAGAAATGTTTGAGACCTAAAAATAAAGTTAATTGTTATGAGAGGGGAATGAGCATTATAGGCTTTTGTATTTGCTAAGGTCTGGTTCTGAGATTGTGAAAAATGCAGCTGATTAAGGAATAAGGAAAAGGCCATTGTTTCTACAATATGAGACAGGAGAGTGTTGTGGGAGATTAAAGAATTTATCAGGGTTCCAAACAAGAAGTCTTGAAGGTCATGCCAGGAATTTCAAATTTTATTTCATGAGTAATAAAAAAGGAATAATGTTGTTTTCGTTACATGCTGTTCAGTCGATTTCAACACATATTCACTATGCACAACAGAATGACACACTGCCTGGTCCAGTGCCATCCTCAGAATCCTAGTTAAGTTTGAGCCCATTGCTGCTGCCACTGTGCCAATGCATCTCATCAGCAGTCTTCTGAATCTTGATCATAGCATCGGCTTCTTATGAAAAACAGTATTTTGGCATCTGTGTGGACAATTGAATAGTGTTGGGGGCTAGGTACATGAAGAGCTGTGAAATTGTGGCACCCCTAAGGAAGCTAAAACAATAGCCATCATGAGAGATTTTCAGACTTTATCTGTAATAATGGTAGTGACAGTGGGAAAAAGTGAACTATTTTCAAGGATTAACAAAAACTTGAGGAAATAATTGTCCTGAGAGCTTCCATTTTTATCTAAGTACTCAGTTGCTGTCAAATAGACTCTGATTCATGGAGACTCCATATGTGTCAGAGAACACAGGACTTTTAAGCAGCTGATCTGTCAGAAGCAGATTACCAGACTGTTCTTCCAAAGCACCTCAGGGTAGACTAGAACCCTCAAACGTTCAGTTAGGCCTAGAGCTTATTAAGAGTTTACCCTACACAGGGTTTTCATCATAGTAAAATCCATTATTAATTCAAATTCGACTTTTGGCAACCCCTGTGTTACAGAATAGAACTTCTACATATGGTTTTCTTGACTGTGACTTTTACCTGAACAGATCAGTAGGTTTTTCTTCCATGGTTTGCTGAGCCAATTTGAACCACAAGCTATTTGTGCCCCTCAGGGATCTTGTTCTCCAAGCAAAATGATACCCAAAATCATCTCTTTGAACAGATGAATATTAATTGCCTAATCTATTCTTAACCACTTCCGCCTTTAATTGGTGGGAGGCCATCATCAGGACTGGAACTCAGACTGAATTTGCATAGGGCAGAAAAGCACTGCCCTAGAGAATTGGCACCAAACACAGTCCATCACTAGGAGACAGGGGATTCACCAGACCAGCACTCCATCCACCTCCAAACACACCTTCCCTTTCTAAATCGTATTAAAAAGTCAATCTAGGACTAGAGTAAGAAGCAGTTTTGTTGTCCTGACAATTTAACACTCAAGTGAACTCAGAGGAATTTAATTCAGGAGCTACCTCTGTTTACAAATTAGGATCAAATGTTATCAATTTTGCAAGCACTTGGATCTTGTCTCATGGATACAAAAAAACACATTTTAAAAAAAAGTTGCTATAAGTAGAAGCACCTGAATGACAGTATTTGCAACGCATATAGACAGTTGAAAAATCTATCTGTATAATCTTGCTATGCAAACAAGCAGAGTGCCTAAGCAAAATATACTTTTTGGCTTTCAAAACAAATTAAAAAAAAAAAAAATTCAAGTCTTACAGAAAAGTACAATCAAAAAAACTTCTGCTGCTGCTTCTCCTACAAGTTTCCCAGCATCTCATACCTTTACCTCTGATAAGGATTAAATTTCAAATTGATTAACACCAGTTTGTTTCAAGTACAATCTATGGTGCATATTGAATGGAATCGTGGCTTTACTTCAATTTCATCTTGGTGATATTTGTGAGGACTTGCAAATAAAAATCATTCTGACGTAAACTCAAATAACTAATGTAACATTTGTAACAAGTACATTTCACATTAATGACTTCAACCTGGTAACAGTTTGTTTTTATTTACTGGAACAGGACTTTTCTATGACATGTAACCCTTAAAATTTCTGGTGTAGACATTAGTCCATGTACTTCTCATTATAGTGAGTGAACGGAATGTGCTCAATTCTACACTTGTGATTTGGACAGTGTGTCCTATATGCATAAAAATAGATAGGTAGATATAGATATATATTTTGGTTTCAGTACACATGCATTGAAGAGAAAAAAAAAAACATTTAATTATGACAACTAAGGAAATGATTATCAATTTGTATAAGAAAGGAAACTAAATGAGATTAAGGTAAGGTTTATAAAGTTGTCCTGTAATTGCAGTAAGTATAATAATACATCATGCTTCATATTATTTCCTGGATACCAATTAATAATATGTTTTATTTTAACAGGCTATTTGCTGCCAGAAGTATGTTTCTATGTGAAAGGTAAGTTCCTTTAAGAATTATTGTATAAAATCGCCGTGGTTTCTGATTCATAGCTCTGAATAATCTATTAACTTTAAAGCTTCGTGGACGACAGCTGTGTTGTTCAAAGGCAAGGAAATATATTATTAATTATCCTAAGTTCCAGATTATTGCTCATAGTGCTGACATTACATAAAAAGAACAGACTGGCACATATTTTCCCTTTTAGTAAGAATAATTAATTAACCTGGTGAGTTTTAAAGGAATACCTGTTGAAATAAAATACAAAGAAATACAGTGTAGCTTGATTACATTTGTTTTAGTTTTAGATGGATTTTTATTATTTTCATGGAAATTGCTATCAACAATCTTAGGGAATCGTTGCATTTTTTATTTATCTGTTTTTCGTTGCTTTTATGTCATTGTTTGTTTGACTGGAATTACAAGAACGGTTTAGCTATTCGAAAGATCAAATAATTGTTTTGTATCTTCAAAATATTATTTACTAATAAGACTATATACCCTTTACTTGGATACATGTATATATTTACATTTGGTAATGCATATGTTTCAACATGAATTATATTTTATAGCTAATCCAATCTAGCACTTAATTTTAAAGAAAATCTCCGAATGTTTAAAAATTCACTAAATATTTCAGTATATTACATTTTAAATTTAACTATGTCCAAGAAATGAACATATCCTGGATTTATAGTTCACTTTGACTTTCCTCAAGCATTCAGGCTGGCAGTTAAAAGATGACACATTTATTGTGTACCTGGGATAGTGTCTTTGATTCTCTAAAAAATCACAACAGGTATTTTCAAGAGAAACCCTTCAGCAGCTTCCATGGCAAACATCAATCTCTATTACTGGTCTAGATTCAGAGTCTCTTTTTTTTTTTTTTTAACAGTTGTTGGTGGAATATTATCACTTTTGTACTTAGATCAGTGAATTCATGAATTATAGCATGCTCCTCCACTTTGTAAGCTGTTTATTTGCATGGTCTATAGTTCTACTTTCTTGTGATGTTGACTTGTTACATTGGTGCACATCTTGCTAACCATCATGTCAAGCTTATTTAGTTAGCAATGGATTACATTTACTGGCACTTTGCATTTCAAAAACAATACACTGTTACTTTAAAAGCCTAGTACTGTAACAGTAGGAGCCCATAAAACTTAGAGAAGTCACTAAGATGTATTTTATAAAGTACATTCTTTTATTTAAAGTGATAAAAAAAATATTGAAAGTAGATAGTTGTGATGGTTGCACAGCATGCAGAATATCATTAATGTCTTTAAGTTGTAAAAATGGTTGAACTGGCCTATGCTTTCTATGTATATTTCACTATAAAAATAAAAAGAAAATGTACAATTTTTGTAATGTCACAAAGGCAATGGTGGTAGTGGTTTTGTGCAGTCAAGTCAGTTCTGACTCATAGTGACCCTATGTATAGGGTTTCTGAAGTTTTCATTCTTTTTGGAGCAGAAAGTCTCACTTTTCCTGTGTAACATCTGGTGTACTCAAACTGCTGACTTGGAGGTTAGCAGCCCAATGTGTGACCCACGATACCACCAGGGCTCCTTGACAATAGTAATAACTATGATAAAATGCAACTAAGTCCTTTTTTTATGTTTAACATTAAACAATGTAAATATATGATATACAGGCTATGATAAATAGTGGTCAAACTATATTACACACAAAAATAACATAAAACCTTAAATCATTTGCCAACTGTTTTTCTTTCCATACTGAAACATGAATGCCTTCAACAAATGCTATACTGAAAAGAACATAGGTCAATTGAAACTCACTTAAAATCCTAACTCCAGCTCTCACTAGCTGTGTGACCTCAGGAAAGTTACTTAACCTCTCTGAGAAATGTTTGTCATTTTTTTGAACTGGGTATAATAAAATTTATATTGAAAGACTGCTGTAAAGATGCTGAAGATTGTCAGTTCCCTGTTTTTCTCTAAGGGTAAATCTCATCTTATGTGTACACAGCTTCACACACATTCCTTATTGCTTCATCTGGTAAAACTATGATTTTTTTGGTGAAATTCAGGTTTTGTTTTTGTTTTTTTTTTTCTTTTTCCTTTTGGGAATGTAAACTTTGCCTTGGGTGCATGTGTGGTCGGGCACTGACACTGTAAAAGTAAAAGCATAGTCTCTTGCTAGACTAAAGATGTTGGTGTCCATGTAGGCAGTCAGGGATTGATTGCCCTGCAGGCATTTTGTGAACAGGTATAACTCATTTTAGTAGCTCTTTTTGTATCTAAAATAATTCTTTCCTACAGTGTCCCCACTATTTGCTACCCAGAGACTAACACCTCTTCAATATTAAATATACTGATGCTTGCCAGGGAGGTGTTGTTTTAGCTTTTATTCCTTTCTCTAGGAAAATCTCTCCTCTTTAGAATCCTTTCTCTTAAAACTTGGCTGGATGATTGGGTAGTTAAATAGCTGATAATGGTTTGATTGCTTTCTTAGGTAGTACTTAACATTTTAATGAGCTTTTGTAATGGCATAACTTAAATGCAAGGTAATATGATGATCTCTTTGGAATAGAGAATAGTTTTGAGGTCAAAAGCTTTTTTTGAAGTGAGCCTGTAAACAAAAGTAGGATTTGCTTCCTTTCCAGCCTTAACTCTCAAACTTCACATAAACTTTAGGGCTTCTCTTATTTTTGTCTTTCTTTCCATCTCCCTCCCATTTCCATTCAGGCATTTTTCTGAAGATTTTAAGTTATTTTTCATTGGTTCTTATATACATTTCTTCTTGATGCCTATTTTTTTTAAATCTCTATTCTACTCTCCCATCTCCTTCCATTTTATTGTTAATTTAAATTTTTTAATAATTCACATTTTAAATAATTTTGTCCCCCAAAATTATAAATGTTAGCAAAATAATTCAAAAAAGATAAGGAATTACTAAATGTTTGTTTCTGAGTGGGAAGCTGTAGAAGTGACATGGTCAAATTCACAGAAAAAGGAGTCAGTGATCAGGGCTCTGATTGCATGCAGTCCACTCAGAATATACAGACATTATGCTCTCATGTAAAATCAATATATGTACTATATTCTTATTTGAATTTTCTCAGACATATGAAAAAATGAGGAGAAAACTGAGCAAAATATACAGCATGTACATGTGACTCAGCTCTTTAATATTAGTCAGACTTTCACGTGGAGTTGGTTCCAACTCATAGTGACCCTGTAAAGGGTTTCCAAGGTTGTAAATCTTTACGGGAGCAGAAAGCCTCATCCTTCTTCTGCAGAACAGCTGGTAGTTTCCAACTGCTGACCCTAAGGTTTCACAGCCCAATTCTTAACCACTAGGCTACCAGATATATAGATACATCTATGTATCTATATATATAGACACATGGAGTCCTGGTGTGGCGCTGTTGGTTAATGAGCTGGACTGTAAAGTCAACTTCAGCCGCAAGGCCAGCAGTTCAAGCTCACCAGCTGCTCCTTGGAAACCCTATACAGGGTTACTATGGGTCAGAATCGACTCAAAGGCATTCAACAACAACAACAACAACAACAACATACATACATATAGTTGTTAAGTGCTGTCAAGTTGATATCAACTCATAGTGAGCCTTTATAGGGTATGCAATGAACGGCTAGTGAGCTTGAGCTGCGGACCCTGCAGTTCAAAAGCAACACTATATATATAGATAAATAGATAGATAGATACATATATACATATATATATATGTATCTATCAATAGATGATATATAGATACATATGTATGTATGTATGTATGTATGTATCTATATCTATATATCTATATAGATATATATAGATAAAATGGAACTGCAAAGTCTGTTTGAACTATAAGGTAGGTGGATCTAGCTCACCAGATGCTCCTTGGAAACCCTATATATGGTTGCTATGGGTTGGATTCGATGGCACTTAACAACAATAACACATACACACATATTTTATTTATATAGGGGTAGGGGCTTTAGATGTTAAGGACAGTGGAATCGGTTCTGACTGATTGCATGTATAGGCTTTCCAATGAGCAACTAGTGAGTTTGAACCACCAGCCTTGCAGTTCAACCTGACCTGTATTCAGGTGCAGTGCATTACCCTGCAGTGCCACATATATATACATACGTGGAGAGAGATTAGGCTTTTACTCTTGTGAAGATTTAAAGCCTCCGAAATCCTAAATAGCATCGCTGTGTGTCAGAACTGACTTGTAGTAGGCACTTAACAACAACAACAATAGCTATATGTGTATATATATATA